CGCCTTTGACGCAGCGTGGATGGTGCGGCGGTGGGCGGCTGGGACCCCCCCGCTGGAGGTGCTGGCCGAGAGGTGAGTGTCCCCATCCCGCTGGGCTGGGTCTGGAGCACGTGGGGATGGCAGCAGTGATGCCAGCCCTGTCCCTTGCACGCAGGGAGAGCATCTACCAGCACCTTTCACAGACATCCCCAGACAACACCAACAAGAACATCAGCCAGTACAGCATTGACCCCACCACGCGCTACCCCAACATCAACCTGCAGGCCATCAAAGCCAGCCAGGTACCTGGCCAGCTCCTGCCATGGGAGCTCCCTGGCTGTCATTGTGACACTAATTTACCCAGCCCCCTCTCCCCAAAGGGTGTATCCTGAAGGCCAGGACATTGAATGCATTGCCCACTGTGGATGGCAGAGGGTTCTGGAGAGTTGTGTGGGTGTGTCCTGGTGTCCCCCTGCGTGGTGTCATTGGCTCTGTACAGGTGGTGACCCACCATTGGCGTGTCCCCATTGGCAGGTCAAGGACCTCTACCTCGTGGGCATGGTGGAGGTGGACTCTAGGAGGAAGAGTGACAACCGGCTCAGCATCGGTAGGAGCAGCCAGTCCTGTCCCATTCCTTCAAACAGCCCGTAGCCAAGTGGCTACTGCCCTGATTTTCCTCCCCATCCTTGTTTCTTGCACCCTGGCCTGTGTCCAGCAGGCTGTCCTGGTGACATCAATGGTTTCTCTCCCCTCTGCTTCTGGCCCACATGGGGACACAGCCCCCCTGCTGCCTTCTGGGGGGGAGGCTGTGCCCCTCCTGCCTGCACTGATACTGAGCCATGAAATACTGACAGATGCTTTATCAACATACATTGAGACTTGTGGGGATGGTTGTGGGAGGACAGGGGGTGTCTCAGGTTGCTCCCATGGGATCCCTTCCCTGTTAAAGCATGGATGCTGAGGCAGGAGGTGGACTGGGGGGGTGTCCCCTGTCTCTCTGCCTCCCCAGCAGCTCCTGGAGCTGTCTGTGAAGAGCTGCTGAACTGGTGCAAGGCCAGCACGGCTGGATACCCTGGCGTGACCGTGACCAACTTCAGCACCTCCTGGACCAGTGGCTTGGCCCTCTGTGCCCTCATCCACCGCTTCCGTCCGGACCTGGTGTGAGTGCCTGGGACCCCCCCGGAACCCTCCACCCTGCAGAGCCCACCCTGATGGCAGCCACGTCTCCCCACAGGGACTTTGACTCTGTGGATTCCCAGGATGCCATTCGGACCAACCAGATTATGCTGGATATAGCAGAGCAGGAGCTGGGCATCCAGCCTGTCCTCTCCAGTGTTGAGATGGCCACCATGACAGGGCCTGACCGCCTGGACCTCATCACCTACCTCAGCCACTTCTATCAAGTTTTCAGGACCTCTCCAGGTGTGAGATTCTGGGGGGATTTATCCCATCCTGAGCCGCACTGGGGCTGGCTGGGTGCTCTCCTCTTTGTTGGGTGGGTCCCATCAAAATGGCCATGTTCTGTGCAGAGGTGGAGGTCAGCAAGAAGCCACTGTCTCCCTGTGGCACGCGAGGGGCCCTCCTCTTCCTCAGCAAGCTGCAGAAGAGCCGGAACCTGGCACACAAACGTGCCCAGGTGAGGGACCCCCACCCAGACCCTCCTGACACACTAAAACGCTGTCCCACTCCCCACCCTCACCACCCCCTTTGGATTTGCAGGACAGTGCCCAGAAGGACACTGAGGCCAAGAAGAGCCACAGGGAAACTGAGGTGGGTCTGCCCCAGGAGCCCCAAGGGGGGCTCTGCTGGGGTGCAGCTGTCCTGGGGGGAGAGTGGGGGGCTGACCCTCCCCTTGGGTCACTTGTAGCTGGACACGGGGCTGGATGGAGACACTCCGGACAGTGCCCACGAGCTGCCGCAAACCATCGTGATGGAGCCAGGGCAGGTTGGTCCTTGTGTCACCTTGGGATGGGATGGAGAGTCCAGCTCAGGGCAGGTGGGCACCAGGAGGGCACCAGTGGGTGGCAGGGCCGAGCCAAGGGCTGGGACCAGGGCTGCACAAGCGAACGCCCACAGCTTCCCAGCTCCTCCCTGCCTGCTTCCTGACCCAACTGGTTTTCCGGAGCCAAGACTTGCCACTCCCTCACCCATCCCAAGCACCCGGTGCTGCGAGAGGGGCAAAGCCCTGCCTCATGCCCCCATGGCTGCTGGCACAGCCACGGGGCAGGGTGGGTGCCAGGCCCCCGGAGCCACCCCAGCCTGTCCTCCCTCCCCGCAGCCACCGAGGGAGAGGACAGGGGAGAACAGTGACGCCTGCTATTTCTGTGGCCGCCGTGTGTACATCCTGGAGCGAGCCAGCGCCGAGGGACGCTTCTTCCACCGCGGCTGCTTCCAGTGCCGGCGCTGCGGGGCCACCCTGCGCCTGGGCGACTACGCCTTCGACGAGGAGGATGGTGAGGCGGCTTTTGGGGACGGGGAATGCTTGGGGCACCACATCTCCACCTTGCAGGTTGTCACGTGAGTTTGCCCCTCCTCTCCCCAGGTAATTTTTACTGCTCGCTGCACTACCCCAACCCACCCAGCATGGACCTGCCCCGGGATGAGGCTTCAGCACTGCCTGATGGGGTAAATCACCCTAAATCCCTGTAGGTGATGGAGGAAAGGCAAAATGTGCAGGGGGGTGGTTGGGTGTGGTCCTGTGCTGCATCACGCCTCTGCTCTGGCTCTGCCCTAGGATGCTGCTGCTGCTGCTGCCGCCCACCCACCCTCAGACGCTGGAAGCTCATGTGTGTCCCCCATGGAGTTGGCACCCAATCCACTTCAGCCCACTCCGCCAGCCCCACAGGCAGGGGAAGAGCCTGGGGAAGTTGAGGACACCGCAGGTGCTGGTGACACGGAGGAGCAGGAGCTGCTGGCACAGCCTGGGGGGGATGTGAAGGAAGAGGAGGTTCCCCGAGCAGAGCCCCAACAGACAGCACAGGAGGGTGAGGAGTGTGGGGGCAGGAGGAAGATCATCCTTACACCACTGGAGAAGCTCAGTCTGTCCACGCTGAACCTCACCAGTGAAGCAGAGCCCGAGCCTCCACTGAAGCCACCTCGTCTGCGGCCCCAAGCAGCCCCTGGGGCCCTCCCTGCCCTGCGGCAGGGACAAGGCGCCTGGAAGCAGGAGGAGGAGAAAACTGACATGGAGAAAGGTAGGTGGTACAAACTGGAGTCTCCAGATGAGCAGAGCTCTCAGTCCCTCCAGGACCCTGCTGTATCTTGCTCATGAGGAACCAGCCTGAAACAGCTCTTCTCTTGGGCAGATTTGGAGGAGAGTGATAGCGAGGAGGAGGAAGAGGAGGAGAAGGAGGACGAGGACGAGGAGAAAGAAGAAGAGGAGTGCACAGGCCTTGGCATTGTGAAAGAGTTGGTGAGGATTTTCCCCAAGTGGTGGTAGCACCACCAGCACAGATGGTAGCTGGGGCTCTTGCTCCTCTCACAGAGGCACTGCGTCTGGCTCAGCTGTGGCTGGCAAGGCAGGAGGTGCCTGGGGCAGGGACTGACCCCCCTGTCCATGCCACCATCCTTTCACAGTACCCAGACCCCAGGGAAGAGGAGAAATACCCCACCTGGAAGCGTACATTGGCCCGCCGGGCCAGGGAATCCCAGATGAAGAGGTTCTGCAGAGCCCAGGTAACCCCGAGGGGAAAGCCAGGTCCCCAGCATGGCACTGTACCCTGTCCCCTCTGTCCAGCTGCTGGTGGCCACATGCTGGCAGGTGCTGGCCTGCAGGTGAGTGCTGCCCATCTGTTACAGGCCATCCAGAGGCGGCTGGAGGAGATCGAGGTGACATTCCGGGAACTGGAGCAGCAGGGCATCAAGCTGGAGAAGTTACTCCGGGATGAGAATGGTAAGGCCAGGGTGGATGGAGCACTGTGACCCTGCAGGGGGGGTCTGCACCCTGCTCACCATTCCCCTGCCCTGCAGAGAGCCCGGCTGACCAGCAGACACAGTGGACAAACCAGCTGCTGTACCTGGTGCAGAAGAAGAACAATCTGATGACCGAGGAGTCGGACCTCATGATCGCGTAAGGCTTGGGAGATGCTCCCTGCTCGGTGTGGGGGCTCAGCTCACCCCAGTCTCCTGTGAACCCAGCACCCATCACACCCTTTTCCTCCCCACAGGGTGCAGGAACTGAAGCTGGAGGAGCAGCAGTGTCAGCTTGATGAGAAGCTCCGGAGTTACATGAACAAGGAGGGTGAGTGCCAGCTCATGCCAGGGAGAGGATCCCTGTGCATGGTGTAGGGATCAGGTCAGGCCTTGTGGCCTTCCCAGCACTACTCTGGTCCCCTGCACCCACAGATACCCTGAAGACACCTGAGGATGAGAAGGCTGAGCAGGAGATCCTGAAGCAGCTGGTGGAGGTGGTGAATAAGCGGAACGTCCTCATCCAGTTGCAGGAGGAGAAGCGGCTCAGCGAGCTGCAGGCTTGATCCACACAGCCCCCAGAGCCACCCAATCCTCCCCAGGGACAAGCAGAGTGTGTGTGTGTGAGTCCTGGGCAGAGCATCACTCTGAGCTACCTCTGGAGGTGGCAATGCCCCAGCTGCCCGCAGGCGCCAGCAGCTGCCACAGCAAACCCAGCTCCCTGCTTGCCAAAGTCTGTCATGGAGGGGCCAGACCCACTGGTGGATGCCCACATGAGGAGACACTGAGGAGAACTCAGCTTTGGGGTGCTGAGAGGGCATTCCTGTGCACGGCGGGATTGCCTTTGCCTTGTGCTTGCTGGAAAACAAGACTCCCAGGGGACTGCAAAAGGGGCTGTGGTGGCTCCCAGCAGCAAGGAGGTGACTGGCCACCAAAGGCAGGCCACAGGGCAGATGCCATCTGTGCAGGGACACCTTCAGAAATGGTCTCTCAAAGCCACCCTGGGACATCCTTCCCAGCTGAAGGCATCCATCCCAGCCTGGACTGTCCATCTCAAGGGACATCTGGCTGTACAAGTTGGGGCCAGTGACAGACAGACTGGGCTGATCCAGCCACTGCTTTTGAATGCCACGTCCACGCTGTCCCCAGCTGCTGCAGGAAACCAGGGTAAGAACCCTACCATGAGCCCCTTGGGCCAGGGAAGGGCTTTTTGTCCAGTAGCTCCTAAGGGAATTGGGCTCAGGGCCAACAGTCTTAACACCGAGGGCAAGCGCTGTGCCCTCTTTGCCCCTCTGGGATTTCCTCTGCTTGGCAATGCCACACTGGCCTTTGCACAGACCTCAGACACCCCTAGAGTCCCTGGCTGTTACAAGGTGGCTTCTGTGACCAAATGGTGCTAGTGGCAGCCCCAGATGTGTTGGGATGGGGGTCCCAGGCGTAGGTTCCTCTCTTAGCAACACCAGCCTGTACTCAGCCTTCATCCTGCCATTCCCCCCAGCACCTCCTCCAGCCCTTCCTGGGTTTGTACCAGCCCTACAATCCTGATGCAAACCCCTACCTTCAAATAAAGCCCCCTCGGCCCGGTGCCAAAGGTTAAAATACCATCTTTATTTTCCATCAGAGTCAGGACTGGTTGCCAGAACAGCCACTAGTGTGAACTTTGAGGCCACCCCAGGCAAGGGGAGCCTCAGTGTCTCAGGCCTTCCAGCCAGGCCAGTGGGTCCCTCCATGTACAAAAGGGTGTATTTAAAAAGACAGCAATAAAAATCTGCCTCCATCGTGGTTCTCACAGGGGTCAATGCAATAAATCTACCCCACAAATCTTAATTTCACACAGAGGCAGCTGTCAAATCTGCACTACTGCATTGGCTGCAGTGCTGCTCGCCTAAAACCTGAAGTCAGCTAAAAACAAGGATGAAAAAAAGGGGCGTGGTGGGGCCAAGGGGACACTGTGGGACACCCAGAGCCTCAGGTCAGCCTTCGCTGGGACGCTCCTGCAGGGCCCGCAGTGCCATCCACATCTGGTCCTCAGTGCCGTGCAGCACCTTCACCTCCATGGTGTGAAACACGTAGAGACCAGTGGCGAGGATGAGGACACCGAGGGCGATGAAGGCCAGCAGGCAGAAGGAGAGCTTGGGGAAGGGCTGCTCTGCTCCCAGTCCAGCCAGTGTGCCCAGTGCAGCTGCAGCCTGGAGCAGCAGCAGCAGCAGCAGGGCCAGCACAGCCATCCTGCCCCAGGAGTAGCGCTGCCGCCGCGCCGCCCGCAGCCCCACGCCCACCTCTGTCCGTGCCTCTGTCACCACATCTGCCAGTGCCAGGTCTGCAGGGACAGGGGTCCTCAGCACGGTGGGACGACCATATACCATCCCTATACCCCCCCACACCACCCCAATACCTTTCTCCCCATCCCCACTGCTCTGCAACCCTCCACACGCAGCACCACAAGGGGAAAACATGCCCAAAGAACTCCATCCAACTCCACCCGTCCATCCAGCAGCCCCCAGGATGCTGCCAGCAGCCCCCCACTTACCAGCTGTGCCAAGGGTGGCACCTGCAGGCTGTCCCTGCCTCTGGATGTGCAGTGTTGCCATCACGGCTTCATGGTCTGAGAAGGGGATGGCCATGCCTGGGGCTGGCCCTGTGGTGGTCTTCAGCTCTTCACACTTCACCGTGAAGCTGGAGATGGCCTGGGTGAGGGGACGAGGGGTCACACCAGTGCCTCACCCCCCTCACAGCTGGTGGCAGACGCTCCCCGTTACCTTGTAGAGGATGTAGTCAATGCGGATGCCCAGCGGGAAGGGCAGCATCTCTGACTTGTCAGTGAAGCAGTTGTCAGGGACAAGGGTGCAGCCGTTCTTACAGCCCTGGGACAAGAGCCTGGGTGGGTGGGGGGCTCTTGGTGTGTCCTGGGACCCCACTCAGCCCCTCAGCTCACCTCAAAGCGCGCAGCCTCAACAAAGGCGTCCCGCAGCCCCGTCCAGCCCCGCAGCAGCCGGGTGCCCACATCGTCAGGGTGCATGTTCAGGTCCCCTCCCAGCAGCACCACGTCTGCTGCCTTTGAGGTGTGTCTGTGAGGACAGGGGTGGCTGTCCTTCCCTGCCCTGCCTGGCACCAGACTGCAGTGACTGGGACCTGCCCAGTGCTCCTCAGCCTGGGACTGGTGCAAATGGGAGCTCTCTGCAGTGCAAGCCCCAGGGGCAGGGGTGACCACACACGTCCTGGGGACCTGCAGGGGGACACCCTGCAGCTGCTCACCGGATGAACTGTGCCAGCTCCCAGGCCTGCACCAGGCGGTGGGGCAGGTAGGCGTCCTTGTCCCGGCAGTATTCGGCGTGCAGCTGGAGAAAGCAAAGGGGCTGTGTCTCCCATACCAACACCTGCCCTGCTCCCAGGCTCCCTGCAAACCCATCCAGCCCCTCCAAACACCTCTGTCTTTATGTCATTCCCACTGGGAACAGCCTGGGATGCTCATCCCAATGCACACCCAGGTTATGGGTCACTGCCCTCTGCACCGAGCAATATTTTATTAAATCAGTGCATAGTCCAGGGCAGAGGGTGGACAGCAGTAGTTAAAGCAAGGGGACAGTAAAAGAGGTGTATGGCCACTCATTCCCCTCCTCCCCACTGTTCCCCCCGTGCTGGATTCTTCCCTGGGATGCTCACATGGGTGACGTAGACGTTGAAGATGATCCCTGAGATCTTCATAATGACGAGACCGACGGACTTGCCGCAGAACCAGTCCCCATGCTGGAGCTGTCCAAGGGAAAGAAGGGCAGGTCAGGGCTACTGAGCCTCTGTGGGGATGGACACCACGGTGCCACATGCCCCTCACCCCACTTACCATGTAGGGGTACCCATTCAGTGAGTACTGGTAGAGGAGTGTGTCCAGAATGGGGAATCTGGAGAAGACGCAGAGGCCACTGCCAATCACCCCGCTGTGGGAGGGAAAAAGCACAGTGAGGAGATGTGGTTCCCAAAACCTCTGCCTCACCATAGCCCTGAGCCAGGAGGACCCCCCGGATGCCTGGATCCCAGTGTGCTCCTGTGAGCATCCTGCTGCCCAGGCATGGGGTGTCCCAGGCAGTGACAGAGGTGACCTAAAGGACCTGCAGTGGTCTCTGCAAGTGGTAAACCCCCAGGACATGGCACAAACCTGGCATTGCCCCACACACAGCCCCGGGGGGGCTGACCCTGCCCTTCTCACCTGCGGAAGTAATGGGAGAAGGGGTAACAGCTTGCTAGTTTCGCCTTCAGGTCACAGTAGTCCTGCTCACTCCACACCTGGAGAACAGTGGGATAGGCTGAGAACAGTCACACTTATCTCCCAGGCTGGGAATGGGTGCACTTTGCCCACAAACTGCCCTCACCTCCTGGAGAAGCACCAGGTCAAAGCTCTCCTGGCGCAGCTTGTCCCCGATGAGCCGGATGCGCTCCTGCCGCCGCTTGCTCAGGTAGCGGATGGCCCTGCCAGAGAGGGGTGACACTCAAAGCCTGGTGGGGACACGGTGATGGGGGCTCTCGGGACCCATTGTGACCCAAAACGAGGGAGAGAAGGAGGCTCCAGTACCAGCAGGAGCTGGATGCAGATGGGAAAGACAGGAAGGGGAAAGGGCCATGTGAGGACATGGGGACAAGAGGGATATGCAGGGAAGCTCTTTGGGGACAGCTTCTCCTGACTGCAGAATTGAAGCAGCTAATCCTTGCTTGGGGTGCAAATGGGGGTTTTTTTGGGGCTAACAAGCACTGAGGGGATAGAAGGCACTACCCAGCCAAGCACCTCATGACCCTCTGGGGCTGGGAGAGTGGTGTGACCCCAAAAAGAAAGGGCCATGAAGGTAACCCCAAAGTGGGACCCCTCTCCCAGTGCGGTGTCCCCATCTCCACCCACACAGCACGGACCTGGCACAGTCTGGACTCACCAGCAGTTGAGGTCGAAGATACGGAGGCGCAGGGTGGGCTCTCCCTCCATCGCTTGTCAGGGCGTTGTGGGGCTCAGCAGCAGCCCCGGGCAGAGGGGGGACCCACAGCGAGTGGGCTGCAGTGACAACCCCCGGGAGCCGGTGCAGGCTGCAGGACAGAGCCAAGGAGTCAGGCTGGGAAGGCGGAAGGGCGAGTCAGGGCAAAGACCAGGAAGGAAGGGTGCTCCAGGCCTTTCTCTTCCTTTCCCGAACGCAAGGACCACCCCAACCCTAAACTGCCCCGGTACAGGGACCCATTTACCCAAACCACCCATGTGACCGCACATCCAGTGGCTGGGGACACTGGTGGGCCAGGGATTGGCTACAGGGCTCAACCCCTCTGTCTGTGAGTGAGTTGTGTTCCAGGATGGACTATCATCCTAGTTTCAAAGTGAAACTGCGAGCCACGGGCATGGAACACCGTCACACACCTCCCCACCCGGGAAGCCCACGGATCCTTTCCGGGACCCCAAACCCCGGCGGAGCCAGCAGCTCCGGAGCAGCCCCAGGGCTCCGCCAGCTCCACTTCTCCTATGCCTGACCCCGTGAGACCGTCCAGTTTCCGGTTTAGAAGCTAAAAAGAGCAGCCCCGGAGCTCCAGGATGCCGGCGCGGGCAGCCGGGTTCTGCCTGCCCCGACGGAATTACCGAGCGGCTCATCCCGCTCCTGAGCCGCGCTAATTAAAGCCGGCGGCTTCTACCCAGCCTGAGCCCCCTGGGGCGCTCCCCGCTCCCCAGGGATGCGGAGGGGACAGCAGCGGGACAAGGAGCGGGACAACAGCAACAGGTGGAGCAGGGACAGGAGAGAGGGGACAGGAGCGGGGAAAAACAGGAGGGGGGACAGGAGCGGGGAAACAGGAGAGAGGGGACAGGAGCGGGGAAACAGGAGAGGGGACACGGGAGCGGGGCGAGCGAAGGAGCGGAGCATTGGGAGAATCGAAGCTACAGGAGGATCAGAGCCACAGAAGAAACGAGGCCGGCAGCGGGGAAAGCAGAGGAGCGGAGCAATGGCAGGCTCGGAGCTACAGGAGGAGCGGAGCAACAGGCGGAGCGGGGCCGGCAGCGGGGAAAGTGGAGGAGCGGAGCAATGGGAGCATCGGAACTACAGGAGGAGCGGAGCTACAGGAGGAGCGGGGCCGGCAGCGGGGAAAGCAGAGGAGGAGAGCAATGGGAGGATCGGAGCTACAGGAGGAGCGGAGCGGGTCGGGAGGAGCGCGGAGCGATCGGCGGGGCCGAGAGCGGACCTGCAGCGGGCCGGGAGCGGCGCGGGGCCGCGGGACTACGCGTCCCGGCAGGCAGCGGAGCGGGGCGGAAGGGGCAGGACCGGGGCAGGAGCGGGGCCGGGACGGGGGGGTGGGGGTGAATGGGGCCGGGAAGGGTGTGGTGGGTGTAACTGGGTGTGATGGGTGTAACGGGGCTGCGGGAGGGATAGTGGGGTACGGGCGGCTCGCAGGACGGGGGGAAGAGGCCGGTGGTGAATAAAACACGTCGCCTGTGTCGCCTGAGTGTAGGATGTGGTGGGACAGACCAGCCCACTGCCACCCTGTGGTGTAGACCCCCTAAAAGATGTGTTCTGAACCCCGCACTGCTGCGGGGAAGCACAGGGAAGCGTCTGCCATGGCCAACTCAACCTTTCCCAAGCAAACTAGAGCAAAACACAGCTGGATGCGGCATCCTGGTACCCAAAGTCGGTACCGAAAGCGTTACCCAACCAAGGGGTTACATGGGACATGGCAGGTCTCATAGTCCTGGCTGTTAAAGAAAAATTCCCAAGAAATAAAATATAAATTTCAGAACTGCTTGAGCCAACCCATGAACAAATAATTTTAATGGTTTTTTTTTTCAGCAGACCGTAGTTTTGTCGGAGCTCCACAGTCTCCTCTCTTTGAAGTTGGACAGATACAGTAAACACAACAAATATATGATACAACCCATCACAGCTGGATTTAAAAAAATACACAAAAAATATAATACATAAAAAAATGGATTTTTAACATTGTGGACTGACGCAGCTCTAAAAATGGTGATTGTAACCCTGGTAAGCTTTACAAAGTCTTTAAAAAAATAAAACAGTACTTCATGTGAAATTCATAAATACACTGGAGGAGAACGGAGGGGCTGAGGGGAGTTGAGAAAGTGTCTCTGGGATCATGACTAAACCCCAGCCAGGGCTGCTGGGGGCACCAGTCTGTGTGCGTGGGGTGCAGTGTGAGCCCTGGGCTCGGTGCAGGCAGGAGGGAGGGAGGGATGGAGGCACAAACCGGTCCAGTTAACGAAGAGCTTCGTCCCCCATCGGGGCTGGGAGTGGGGCACGCCTGTGTTTTATGGTGGGGGAATTTTGAGTTTTCATTCCCAGAGTTTTAGATCAGTGAGTGAAACAGAGAAAAAAAAAAAAACAACAAAACCCAAAAACCTACAAAACAACAAACAAACATGCTACATATGAGAACTTGGCCAGAGAGCCCCAGCACAGCCCTGGTATGGTTGCCAGTGCCTGGCCTTGGATTTTTTCCCTCTCTCTTTCCCCTGCTGCTCCGTCTGCCCTGCTCACAGCAGCCACCTCAGCCCAGTCCCACCACTGAGCCCTCGGCCTAGCACAGGGCTGGGGTGGCTCTGCCCCATCCCACAGGGATGGGTGGCTTTTCCCAGCAGCAAGAGGTCGAAGTCCCCATGTCTCACAGGACACGTGGCGTCAAAGCGGCAGTCAAGGCACTTTCCTGAGCTCTGGGCTATTCCTGCTCCTTGCACTGGCAGCATTGAGCCTAAACCTGCCCTGTCCCCCTCCCTAAGGGGCTGCAGTGCCCCTCAAAACACTCCTGCCCTCCTTCCCACTGCCTTCCCTCCCCTGCCAACCTGAGAAACCCATCCACACCCGGCCACCTCGAGCTCTCTGTCCCCCTGCCAGCCTCCTACCACCCTGCTCCCCACCACCTCTGTCCCTCTGTCACCCTCCTGCACCCTGGGGTTGCTTTCCCCAGACTCTGCCCTTGCAGTTGCAGCCTCAGGACTGGGCACTCTGCCTTGGCTTACTTTGGGCTGCAGCCACAAAAACACCTCCAAGCCGACCCAGTCCCTTATCCTGGCACCCCTCCTGTTCTCTGTCCCCTCTCTGTCTCTGTCCTCTCTGTCCCAAACTCTGTCCACTGACAGCTTGGCCCTGCATTGCTCAATGTTTTACCCTGCACAAGTCACCTCCCTGGCCACTTCCCACAGGATGCAGGAGCCGACGGAGCAGTTTGGAACAGTCACCGCAGAAAAAAGGCAAAAAAAGGTGAAGGAACAAAAAAAAAACCAAAACAAGGAAAATGTACATATGCAAAATAAATCAGGCAAATCTGCCCTCACTGCTCTCTACTCATGACTCCTCAGTAAACGACCACAGTGGGGACACTGAGCCTGGGCCACCCCCAAGTGCAAGTCCTGAAAGTACACACAGAGCTCAGGGGATCCTCCATAAAACCCAGCCAGAGATGGAGACATCCCAAACCTTTCCCTAAACAAGACACTTCCTGTGCAGGGTGGGAGGGGAGCACCTGGGCACTGCAGAGGGCCATCAGCCTGATCACAAGCATGATGTCTTTTTAAAAAGTATTAAAAAGCACTTTCATTTAAAAAAAAAGGGGGAAAAAAAGGGAAAAAAAAAAAAAGGAGCCATAAAACCCTATGGTTTGCATTGTCAATGCCCTGATGCCTTCACTGCCACTGGTTCCCAGTGCCCCAGCTGGGCATGGAGAAGGAGCATCCCTGGGGAGGTGGCAGTGTCCCCCTCCTCCACTCTGCCCTACCCTGCACGTCTGTCCCACATCCCCTGGGCTGTGCCACATGGTGCCAATGCCACTGGTGCCAATGCCACTGTCACTGCCATGCCAATCAGTTTCAGACCTGGCATGGTGCTGCATCCTCCTGAGCGTCAGCACTTGCTCCTCTCAGCACCGGGGCCACTTCTGGGCGAGGCTGGGGATGAAAGGAGGGGTCGTTCTCTGCACTGATGTTCTGCTGCTGCTGCTGCTGGTGGCACGGTGAGATCCTGGCCCTCACCAGCAACATCGAGGGCTGGTCGTCTCTCCCTCTCCAGCACCAGATGCGGGGATGTGGGTTTCCTTTCTCCCTATGCTTCCTTTCCCATTCTTCTTCTTCTTTTTTTTTTTTTTTTTTTTTTTTTTGTAATTTTATTTATTTATTAAAAAAAAAAAAGAAACTGTTCCTAAGTAGAAAACATCTTCGATCACAAGTCAGTCTTTTTTGGCTATTGTTTTCCTTCCTTCTCCTTCTCCTCCTGTCTTCAAATGACTTCTCACAAGGCAACAGGCACGGGTGGCTTTTCTGCACGGCCCCCTCCCTCCCCTGCACACCCCTCATGCCCCTGCCTGTCCCCAAGAGCCCCTAGTCCTTGACCAACTTGTACACGTGGTGCTGGGCGCCGTGCTCGCTGGTGGAGACCTCGAAAACAAAGGCAATGCAGAGCAAGGTTTCCTGGGTATCCCTGTTCGTAACAACCTGCAGCAGAGCAGAGTGTGTTAGGGGACTGCTGTGCCCGTGGGCAGGTGCTGTTATCTGAGGGGGTTACATGGGATTAGGCACAGCCACTTTGCACCATGCAAAGATTTGCTACCCATTTTTTGTGGGGTCACACGGGCAGTAGTGCAGCCAATTTAATTGCACCATCAAGATTTGCTATCTGGTTTTGGGGGCGTTGCACAGGCTCAGGAACAGCCTGAACTGCACCACCAAAAATTTGTTTGGAGGAGGTTGCATTGGCTCAGACCCAGCCACTGCAATTGCACTACCAAAAACTGCTACAGATCATTTGTTGAAGTCAAACAGTCAAACTCAGGCACAGCCAATTTAATTGCACCATGAATATTTTGCTCCCCATTATCTGGTAGACTTGTCCAGGCTTGGGCACAGCCACTATGTTGGCACCACCAAGATCTGCTCCCTGGAATTCAGGGGCTGTGTGGGCCCAGGCACAGCCAGGTGTATCTGGGGCCAGCAGGGTCGCTGCAAGTGCGGGCTCCACACTCCTGGTGGAACATACCCTCTGGAAAAGGAGGGGAGGTACCTGCAGGATGGTGAAATTCTCCAGGACACTGTTCATCATGTACTTCTCTGGGAGGTGCTTGAGTTTGTGGATGAAGTTGATCATGTACTCGCACATGGGAGAGCGGTGGATGCGGTAGACGAACCGGCCGTTCTCCAGCCGTGCATACTCCGTCTGCAGGGGACAGCCAGGGTGAGCAGCTGTCCCGTGAGTGGTGGTGGCCAACCAGGACATGCCAATGTCCTCTCCACTCCACCCACAAACATGGTATAAGCACCCATGTGTCCTACACCCAGCTCCGGGACTTTCTCCATCTCAGGACCCACTGTGGACCAACTCCAACCCCTTCCCCATGCAGTGGGGCATGGAACTCACCTCCACCTTCTCCACGACTTGCTTCCCAAAGGAGCACACCTTGGTGGAGACTGTGATGGTCATGTTCTCTGCACTGCTGTACTGGCTGCTGACACCATAGAAGGTCCCTGGCCCGTCCTGGATCGTGCTGTTCAGATCCGCCTGGAGAGAGGAGAGGGGGTGAGGGTCCCACGAGGCACCACCACACCCAGCTCTCGATGAGGACAAGGGACACCAACTATCAGAGCTGCCCAGGATGCTCCTACTCTGCCAAGCAGAGTGCCCAACCCACAGTGTAGCTCAGGGATGACCCTCCCCACCCTTACCCTCCCAGCAGCATACCCAAAACTTGACGAGAAAGAAGGAGTTCTGGGGCCCACGCTCATAGAGCTCCTTGAGGCCACCTTTCTTCTCAGGAAACTTGTCGTAGATCTGGCGGATGTCCACGGCCTCCAGCAGCGGGTCACTGTACGAGGGGTTCGTCTGGCCGATGTGCACGAAGAGGTGTTTGCTGTACTGTAGGGAGCGGGGTGGGGACAGCAGCAGGACAGGTCAGGCACGAGCAGGATGCCACCAGGCACGGGGATGGATGGGCACACAGGGGGGGACTGTTACCGTTTCAGCATCCCGGGGCACCTCCATGAAGGCGGAGTACTCGAGGAGCCGGAGCTTGCTGGAGGCGATGGTGCGGTCCTGCCAGACCGGCACGGCCGAGGCAGCTGGTGGGAGCGGAGCCAAGGGCTCGTAACCTGGGGCAGGGACAACGACACGGGGGTGGAGGGGCAGCCAGGAACTGGGGTGAGCCCCCCCTGCAATGCTGCTGTCCTCACTGCAGCCCACACCCTCCAGTATCGCTCAGCACAGCGTGGCTACAACATGGGATGTTCTGAAGGGGAAACACGGGATGTTCTAGCAGGAAATACGGGATGTTCTGGGGGGGAAGGATGGGGCGTTCTAGGGGGAAAACATGGCATGTTCTGGGGGAAAAACATGGGATGTACTAGGTGGAAAGGCACTGGAGGGGACCCAGCTGGGAGCAGCATGGTCCTGCTCACTGTGGAGCTTTTTCTGGATATAAACCCCAGTAGATCTGGGGAAGAGATAGAGGTGGGTGGCACTGTGTGTGGGAGGGGACAGAGGACAAATATGACCTGGCAGGCACACTGGGTTCCCTCCAAGGGGGTAAGGACATGACTTACTGGCTAGTGATGGAGGCATGGGTGGCTGGATGGGGTAAGCTGGTTGTGCAAACGGTTTAATGCTGGAAAGGAAAAAGTATCATCAGGTTACCAGGCCCAGGATGATGCCCCAGTCCCTTTCCAAGGTGGGTTCCTGCCAGTGCTGGGTGTGAAGGGGTCTGTACTTACTCCTGAGAGGGTCCAGGCTGTCCTGGGATAGGCCCACTCCAGAACTGGGAAAACAACATAGGGAAGAATCAGTGGCTTCTGTCCCAACATTTCCCTCCTCACCTGCTGCAAACAGCAGGGAGCCCTGCATTGCCACCAGGGCTGAGAATGGCTGTTGAGCATCCCCCTGCCCCGTGTGTGAGTCATGGTGTCCCCACCACCCCGGGGTGTCCCCATGTGGGGGGTGTCCTCACCCTGGGGGCAGCAGAGAAGACGGCCTGAGGAAGAGGAGGGGGGGGGCTGAGCTTGTTCTGCAGGACGCTGGCCGACACAATCTGCGCCGAGGACATGGAAGCCATGCTCTGCAGAGCCTTATCCTTCGAGACCTGGTCCTGAGGGGAAAAGGGGGGACAGCAGGGAAGCGGGGGTTACAGGGGCAGACTGAGCTCCCTCAATCCAAGAGTGCCTGACAGGTTTTGCAAAGCCGGCAGGCAATCCCAGCAAGGGACCAGTGCAAGGGGATCCCCCCATCCCCTCTCAAATGTTAATTAACATTTGAAGCTTGCCAATATCCTCTGGGCAAAACCTAATGGGTCTGGAAAATGTCCCCTCCCACTGCTGCTGGTGGCCCTCCCTCCTTGGGGATGTGAAGGGTTTTTAGCCCCTCCACTGGAGAGGGCATAATGCAATGAGGAACAAAAGGAATTTCAGACTCAAGCTCAACTTACCAAGTTCATGGCCTGTCGGCAAAAGAAAGGAAAAAAAAATGTTAGTGTCATAGCGGGAGCCTTTGGGTACTCTGTTCACCTTCCCTAAGACAGTGCTGGTGTCAGCTGGGGCAGAGTTAATTTTGTCCACAGCACAGGCATGGGGTGACTGTGAAGTGCTGTGACGAGAATTAACCCAGTCCCAGCTGAAACCAGCACAGCTGGGTATCCCCACCCTGGCTCATCACCACAGCCCGACGTGGCCAGTGAAGCCCTTGACCTGGCTGGTCACCAGGGGATGCACGTGGTGGCCACTGATGCCCTGACTTAATCCCACCAGGAACGGGATGACAAAGCCCCCCCTACACTCTTTTAGGAGGTCACTGTGGTGAGCCAGGCCTGTGCCTTTCTTGGTTTTTTACAATCCTCTACAGCCTCCTCAGAGCCCCCAGTGCCTGTGGCACTGAGAGGAAGAGCTGCCCTGGGATGGGGGCACCAACTCCCCCACAGGCACTGCAAGGAAAACTCCGAGCACAGCCCCCCTGTGCTGTGTGTGCACTGGCAGAGGAGATTGTTTTTCCTTTTGCTCCAAAGGTCACAGCACTGCTGGGCAGGAGCTCCAGGGCTCCCAGGTCCTGCCTGGAGCAGGGCTGCTCCTCCACTTGCATTGCTAAGACACGTTCATGCTGGTCCCAGTGCACACCCTCTGCTTTCCCTCTGAAGCTTCCCCAGGGATCAATGCTTCATTTATTTCCACCTGGGGCAGGGCAGGAGGGCGGGCGTGCAGCCACATGCCGGGAGCACGAACACGCACATGACTGCAGCTCAAAAACACAGATACTGCTCGTGACTGCAGCTCCAAAACACACACACTGCTCATAGAAGTGTTCTCATCCCACAGGACAGTGCTGGGGGAAGGGCAGGGGGCTGCCTGCACTGATCTTGAGAAGGGATGTTCTGTATCCTCAGAGTATTGTTCAGGGGGATCTCTGCCCTGGCTGCTCCGTGCCAGATTCCTGCAGGCAGTAAAGCTGGGGTTGGAGAGCACAGCCATGGACCCCTGGGGTCACTCCTGCCTCCAACTCCCCCTTGCTCTGCACTGTGCCGTGTGGCAAGGCAAGATTTCATTTTTATTTATTTTTTTATTTTATTTCATAAAGACTTCTGCTGCTGTTGACCCTGCTGCTCCCCCTCACTTCCCTGACTGTCCCTCTTGGGGCTAGACACTCGGTTTAAGACATACAAGCCCAAAGGAACATCCTAAAATAAGTTTCAGGTGCTCTCTCCTGGTTTCTCCTAGCAGACCAAACCCATCTGGCTGTGGGAGCTTTCCTGGCATCCTGCTCATGGGACACTGGGGTCCCTACTGAAGGACTCTGGTGGGCTTCCAGGCAGCATGAGCTGGAGTTTGTTAAAGCTTTGAGGATGAAAATGCTCCAGCTCTGACAGTGGCCTCTGCTGCCAGCCTCGGTGCTGGAGATGGACCCAGCACCCAGGACAGGGGGAGCTGGTGATGCTTTTGGGACCTCAAGGTCGGCAGGCTGGAAGATTTTCTAGGCCCCCACTAGAAAAATCACCCCTGAAGCTCCCAAGAGATGCTCCCTGTGTGATGGTGCAGAGATTAACTGAGGCACATCCCAGGAACTGGCTGTCCCCAGTGGGTGGCTGTGCAGTGAGGATCTCTCTGTCCCCCACCTCACATCATGGGGTCCAACCCAAGCAGGGCATGGTCCTTTGGTGATGCCCCCAGTCCTGCCCATGTCCCCCCACCATGACCCTCCCCACTGCCACCACAAAGTTTGGTGGGAACAGTTATGGAAAGGTTAGTTGGGCTCCAGTTAGGAGGAAGGAAAGAAGGAAGGAAGAAAAGAAAAGCCAACCAGAAAAGAGAGAGAGAATGATCCATTTTTTTCTCACTTGGCTCCCTTGGCTCCGGGCACTATGCCCCTGTCCCCAGCAGCATGGCCCCAGCTGGACCTGCTGCCTCTCATATCCCTGTGGTGCCCCTGGGCTGTGCTCACACCCTGGTACATCACAAGCCACTGGGCTGGCAGCCTGCAGGGACCCCTGGGGCCCCCCTGCTTCTGCCCACATCGCATCAGCATCTGTTCTGAGCTGGGTCAGGCCTCAGTTGTGGAGGGGAGTGGCCTTTGCTTGAACCTCACTTTGCCTCACTGGGTGCCCTGGGGGGCCTTCTCCTTGTGGGAGAACCCCTGATTGCCCAAAAGAGGGGGCAGCCCTCATGCTGCCAGAGGAGGGTTTAAACCCACATCTCTCCACGGCAGAGTCCTTGCCTGGATGCAAAGAGCGGATTTGGCATCCACATTCACCCTCCTGGAGGACAGAGAAGGGCTCTGCTGCCCCTCCTTGCACTTCTCTCTGGGCATCCCACAACGATGCCTGTAAAAACCATCTGATCCAAGGAGCCAAGTGAGGGGGAAGAAAAAAAAACACCAAAAAAAAAGAGAGGTAAAACAGGAAAGCAAGCAGCACACCGCAGAGCCGAGGGCGTTAGTCGTCAGCAGGCGGGGGCCAGGCGAGGCAGGGCGTACCTTCAGCTTGGACTGAATCTCACGAGATTTCCGTCGGGCAAGAACCTGCAAGTGGCTAGAGACCTGCAGAGAGAGAGCAGAAGGAGAGGGGGAACAGCAGAGCCGTCAACCAGAGGAAAGGAGGAGGAAGGAGAGGGGCTGCCCATGCTCACAGAGACACCGCCGCGGACACCTGGGCAAGGGCGTCAACGTACCTTGATGCCAACCTGGTACTCCCGCACCTTCTTCCGAGCTAGAACCTGTATGTGGCTGGACACCTAGCGCCCGCCACGCCGTTCGGAAAGGAAAACACAGAGAGCGTGAAGATGCGTTCCCCCTGCAGGGCGGGATGCTGTCCCCGGGGGAGGGAGTGTGCAGGAACGGGGCAGCACCTCGGCTGCGCCTGCAGATGCTGAGGGTTCTGCACCCGCCAAGAGCTGGAGGAAGGAAAGTTGTGGGGCACCCCCGTGCTGGTTGATGCTGGTTTGTGCCCACCCCAGGCTGGGGTGGAGCTCCTTGGTGTAAAGCTGATGCAGTTGAGGGGGGTCTCCATTCACGGGACAGACAGACAGACAGACCCTGCCAGCCCCTGTGAGCACCATAAGTTGATGATACAGCCTGGCAGGTTTGAGGTGCCCTGGGTTACTCGGTGGGGCCTGTGGGTCCAGAAGAGACTGGCACATTGCCCCAGGGCTCCTGCTGTTTTTGTGTGGAAAGGTGAGAAAGGTTGGGTTTTGTGTCCTGGCCCCTGTAAGAGCAAGATCTAAAGAAAGGGGCCGATGTCCAGGCAGTAAAAGCACAGCATGGCTTGGGGGGGGCCATCCACAGGAAGGGTGGGTGTCCACACACCCACAAGGTTTCGGGGCTGATTTTGCCAAGAACCTGCTCCCACCAGTGACAAGGTGTCCAAAAGGAGACACCAGGCTGTCCAGGAGACGACTGCACAGAGGGATCAGTGCCATGGGTGCTCTCTCCCATGCCTTTCCCGAGTCCCCCCAGAGCATTGCATCCTTCCCTCCATGGAGGGGGGCCCCAGTTAAGTCTTTAAGCCAGAAATGAAGCACTGCTTGGCACTGGTCTGAACACAAAACCAGTGGCCAGACCCTGCTCTGCCTGCTTTCAGCATAAGTCCAGGAATGATCTCTGCAGTCTCTGAGGACCAGTGTCCCTCTCTTGTGGGGACCTGTGGCACAGGACAGTCCCAGAATAAGTGTCCTGAACCCAACCATCTCAGGGTGGTGGGAGATGCATCCAAGGCCATGGGCTCTTCTGGGATGGGTGGCCTGGCTCCAAGCTGGGGGCCACCACGAGGGGAGGGAAGAGTCACTGGACACATGAGAAAGGGACACATCCCATGGAGGGCTGCAGCAGCCCACTCCTCAGACAGGTTTGGTGAAGCACGGGCTTGTAGGGACCTCTGTGTGCTCCTGCCCTGCTGGCATCCTTGCCTGTGCTCTGCCTGCATCCCTGCCTGCCCCAGCATCCAGGCAGGGCAGTGAGAGAAGAGCAAGAACTCTGTGGTACCTCCAGCCCCACCTGGACCAGCACCACAGCTTCACAGAGCTGGTCCCCAGATCCCTGGCTGGAATGGGGACGCCTTCTCTCAGCCCATGGGGCTTGCAGTGCCTTTGCTGTGGCACCTGGCACAAGTGGCATAAAGCCTGGCAAGTACAGAGATAGGAACAGTCCCCAGGTCCAGAAGGTGCAGCAGAGAGATCCATGCAGGCACACACAGACACACAAACACACCCAGAGAGAGTGTGAGGGCTCCTGCCACCTGCAGGGTCACCCCAGCCAGGTGGGTGACCTGGGTGCTGCCTGTCCCCACATTCCCAGTTTCCAGGCATCCTGGGACAGAGGAAACCCCAGGGGTTTTGTGCTCACAGGCGAAGCTCCTCGCAGATGGGGGACCTGCTGGCAGCAGCAGTGGCTTGAGGAGAGGACACAGAGGACGAGCGATGCAGCCGGACACCCGCTGCCCCTCGGGCTTACCTGGCACCGCCTCCCAGCCCGCCCCGAGCCCACCCCAGGAGAAAAAGCAGAGCAACGCCTCACCTGCTTCCTCGTCCGTGTCTTCCCCGTTCGCAGTTTGATGTAGCGGGCGATCAGCTCGTTACGGCCTGCGGGCAGAGCCTGGGTCAGCCCCGGCACACGACGGGCATCAGCCCCAAAACCCCAAAATCCCCCAACCCCCCCCCGGCCTGGCGAGGGAGGCGCTGCCAGGAGGTGGCGCTGCCGCGACAGTGTCGTGGCGACCTCGGGGACACGGGGGTGGCCAGGACAGGGCATCTACCCTGCCCCCCCGTCCCTGCGTTACCCCGCGGCTCCGAGCGAGGTGACAGTCACCAGGGACCCCCACCACAGCCGTGCCTCAAAGTACAGACCCCCCAAAAATCATCCCAGCCGGAGCCCCCCACCAGAACCACCGAACCCACCCCGGGCAGCCGTGCCCGCAGGGGTCCCGGGTATTGCCCCCGCAAAGGCACCCCGCTTCTCGTTCACAAGCCGTGCTGGCCTTTCCACCAGTATTTCCCAACGTCCTGGTCTAATTCGAAGCAGAAGTTGCTTTTGCGCCACATTTCAGGGGCCAGCTGTGGCCAATCTACGTTCAAACGTCAGAGCAGCTGGGAGCTTTCTTCTCCCGGCCCCGGCCCCCCCGGCCCCCGCCGCCCCCCGCGCACGGGGGCAGCCAGGCACGCCAGATTTATTTTAATGGACCAGATGGTCGCGGTTGGAACTTGTCGAAATGCCCTTGGAGCGGGTTTCGGCTTTAAAAGAATAAAAAAACCCCTTAAAAAAAAAAAAATACTTCCCCCCCCTCCTCCTCTTCCACCCCGATTGGCCCCCTCCCAGCCCTACAGCAACTGGGCCCTCCTGGGGGGACACATACATGGGGACAGACAGGGCCAGGTGCCACGCAGAGACAGCTGCCCCTTGGGGTGCCCACGCCAGGCAGGAGCTGGTGGGTGGGTGACAATGGGGGTACCCCTTGCACAGCCGACATGGCACCCTGGTGTCACCCTGAAGCTCAGTTTCCACCTCTCCCAGCACGGGCTGGCTCCCTACTCAGCACCTAGCAGGGGCCAGGTCTTACAGGGAGTCCTTTAAGCCAGGTGAGATGACACCCACAGCAGGGTGCTGGCAGGAGGGACCCTGCTGCTGAGCCCCAGTTTGGGGGTACAGCTTCAAAATCCCCCTTTGAATGCCCTGCTCCTGAATCCCATCCTCTGTACCCTGCCCGTGGGAAAGAAATATGGGGAAAAAAATACAGGAAAGAAATGTGAGTGCCTTTCTGGACTCGGTGAGCCAGTGCTAGCTGGTGTCCAGCATTCAGGGCCAGCATCTCCTGCACCCATCCTGCCTCACACCATGCCCAAGGCTGCACCTTCACAGCCATCCCCGTGCCCACGTGCCCTGTCCCTTGTCCCTTTCCCTGTGATTCATCTGGACCGTGCCATTCCCCCTGAGAGGGCACGTCCTCCTCCAAATTACCACATTCCCCAAATTCCTCTCCCCTGACACCACCACGTGAACCAGTTGGACAGGCTGGGTTAAAAATAACCCATCCAGCAGCCGAGTGTAGCAAGGCCCAGTGTGCCCGTGCTGGGTCCTGGCTCCCCAGCTCCTACCTTGCTTTGCCACCCCCACAGCGCTGGCACCAGTGTGGCAAGGGCTGGCATGGCCATGGGCAACCATGGAACCCCCAAAAAGAGGGGTGGTGAAGGAGAGCAGAGGCATTGGCACACCATTATCCTGCTTGCTGGCATTGCCTGTACTGCCAGTGCCCCTGGTACGCCCAGTAATGCCAGCCAGGGGTCCCGGGGGTCCCAGAGGAAAGGTGCTAGGGAAGGTGGGGGGAGATGAAAGGCCAGCAGGGACTGCTGCCTCTTTAAGCAACTGCCAGATGTCTCTGAAAGGCTGGAAAAACCGGTTGGGGCGTGCTTCGAAGGGCCAGGCTCCCGGCGGCACTTCAGCTATTCCCGGAGAAATCCAAAAAATGCATACGCTTGGGAAGCCCTGTGCTCCCCCGCCTCCCCCTCACCCCACTCCTCCACCAGCCCCCATGCCGTGGGTTGGGGGCCCCGGCAAATGGGATGGCACAGGTAGCTGGCATGGGTGTGGGGACAGTGGCATAGCGCTCTCCAGAAAGCCTCGTCCCTTTTGCCCCTCTCTACTGGCACCGGGGGAGCCATTGCTGTGACAGCAGCATCCTGGGCAGGTGTATTTTGGAGGCTGGGGATAGAGACGCCAGCCCTGGTCCTGTCGTCACCATGGGGTGCTGGCAATATGGCAGCCTGTTCCTGACTTGGAGGTCACTGGCCCTTGGGGGTGACATCATGGGATGTGCAGGGCAGGAGGAACCAGTCCCTACCCTGGCGGGGACAGGGAGTTTTGAGAAACACCAAAAACGAGGCTGACACCTCCAAAATCATCACCCCAGTGGGGCTGACCACCCCTGCTGCCACCAATGAAGTCACCAAAATCTGAGCTGGGTGCAGATGGTTCAGGATGGGCGAGTGACCCTTGCCACAGGGTGCTCTGGCCACCAGGTCCGGTTGGGGAAGGTTTGGGGAGGCACACGGGAGCAGGAGGGCTGGGGCTGCCCCGGCCCCGCAGTCCCGCGCCCGCTCCCTGCCCGACGGCTTCACCAAACCAGTCGGTCCGGCAGGGCCGAGAGAGGGAGGGAGCGGGAGGGAGAGCCAGCACAGAGGGAGGGGACGCAGGTCACTGCCACCTCCCCAGCCCAGCTCCAGGATGAACCCCAGCCAGCTGCTTTCGGGGTTGGGGGATGCTCAAGGGCGATGCCCCAGCGTGGGTTTTTAGGGTAGGAGGTTTCAGTTCAGCCCTGGCCACCCTGTGCCTTTGCCCGGCGCCTCCCTCCTGCCCCCGGCACTCACCGTACATCTTGCCCTCATCTGAGAGGATGATTTTCCTCCGGCCGCAGGGTGGGTAGATCGCCAGCGCCTCCTGGAAGCTCTGCTCGATGTCTGGACTCCACACACCCTCGGCATCATTGTCCAGACTCTTGTCCATGCCGTCCTGGCCATCTTCCCGCCCCTCCCCAGGGCTGCCGCTGGCGTTCCAGCTGTTGGACGCTATGGTGCTGGCTGCTCTGGGCTCCGACCCTGAGCCCCCACGGATACACGACAACCTGCTGGGACACGGGGACACCTGTCAGACCCAGGAACCCTTGCTGGGGCATGGGGTGCAGTGACAGCATGGTGCCAGGTCTGTTCCTGGCCCTTGCCCTGTTTTCATTTGCACCCAGACCAGCAGCTCATTGTAAGGCATCAGACACACAAACAAGCTTTTCTTGGGGGCAGAACATGATTTCTGTGAGTATCCCCAAGTCACAAGTGACCAGCCAGGATCCACCCAAATAAAGTTTGGGAAAGAAACTGCCCCAGCTACTGTATTACCCATACAAGGAACTTGGGCACATGGTGTTTAGGGCTGACACCTTGGGACAGGATGGCAGCAGCCCCACAACCTGTGAACCTTGACCCTGCACCAGTGCCCACTGCCAAACAACAGTCTCTTTGGGCAAGCTGGCCCAAAAAACTCCCCTAGGCCCCAAAATCCTGGCTCCACCATGCCTGGCAAAGGCAGAGCTGGGATTTGAAGGGAGATGCTGAGCAGCCCCAAGCCAGACCCCATTAATGGGAACCAGGTGGCCAGAGCCGTCCAGCAGCCCTTCCCCTGGTACCAGGAGAGGCCCCCCACCCTGAGGATGCTCAGCTGGGGCCCTGGGCCCTCCCCAGCTGCTGGGTGATGCTGGGGAGCCTTCAATCCTCCTGCTCTTCCTCCTCCTCTCGCCCAGCTCCCAGTGCAGCGTTGCAGTGTTTTGCAATAACATGTTTGGCGGCAGCTGCCGGCGGTGGGAGCGGAGAGGTGTCTCCTGCGCCGCCGCGCTTCCCGGACGGGCTGGGAGTGTACAAAGGTCTCCAGCACAGACATCTCCTTTTAAAGGAACTGCTGAGCCCGCTGGCTCAAGTGCGCTGCGAGGCCTTGCCTTGCTGCCTTTTTTTTTTTTTTTTTTCCTTTTATAAAAAAAGAAACTTAGCCCCCCCATCCCTCTCTCCCTCGTCGCGATGTGATGTCAGCCCCTCCGGTCCCGCCGCCCATCCCTGCCCGCGTCCCCCCCGCCGCCGCTCCCCCTCTTGCTGAGCACTGTGGCCAAATAAGGAGAACTGGATTGTAGGATCGAGCCAGCCGGCCAAGGGAGGGATGGCGGCAGCGGTGCTGGACGGGCCAGCGGCATCCCAGGGCCTGCAGCACCCCGGCTGTGCCAGGGGGCTCCGGGGGACTGCCCCTGGCAGGGATGCAGGCTCCAAACCTAGCAGGGTGTTGGGGATGGGAGGGCACGGGAACGCCAGGATCAAGCACTGCACAGGGATGGTGAGGGTGGCACATGGGGACAGGCCCAAGGGGACCCTCACTCCCCCCTGCAGCATCAGGGCTCTGTCCCAGTGGGGCACCCACCTACACTGGGGTGCAACTGCCTTGGTGCTGAACCCTGGCTACTTCACAGCAGCCAAAAAACCCCCCGGCAGACCAGACATGGGGGAACCTGAGAGTCCTCAGCTTCTGCAGCAGCCCCCAAAGGCCTCAATGGTCTCAGACCCCACAGCAGCCCTGTGGAAGCCCCAGAGCTCTCAGCACTGTGGAAGCCCAGGAGCCCCCAGTCTCACCAAATCACAGTGGTCAGGGATCCTGCAGCCTGGTGCCAGCCCAGGACCCCACAGCACCACACCTAACAGGGGAAAGCCCCAAGAGCTGGTGCTGGAGGGTGACAGGGACCCGCCAGACCCCCTGCCCTCCCCACCTGATGGGTGTTTTGGGGGCCAAGGGAAAAGCTATAGGGCTGAGAGCAAAACCACGGGGCTGGCTGCACCACTGCAGGCAGCGTGCCCAGCGCCCTGGGTCACCGTGCCAGGCACTGCCTGCACAGGCAGGTGACAGCTGACCCCACACCCTGCCTGTGACACACGTGTCCCCCTCCCCTGGAGGTCCCCAGCCCGCTCCCACCCCACTCCCCCTCCAGCAGGGAAATCCCAGCCCAGCCTTTTCAGGGAAGCTGGGAGAGGAGGGAGGGTGATGCTGGGGCCCCGGCCAAGGTGCGAGGAAGCAGCTCCTCCTCCTTCTCCTCCTCCACCGAACCTGCTTTTGGCCCGGCGAAGACATTGGATTTCCTGGAGGGAGGGTGCATGCACCGCGCTGACGCAAGGCACGGCCAGTGCCGCTCCACCCTGCCCTTACAAAACACCAACAACAGCAGCAATTAGGGAACCGGCACGGCTGGACGGCCTGCGGAGACCGCGGCCAGACCTGCTCAGGGCAGGGAAGGGGACCGGACCTGCCGGAAAATATGTCACCAACTCCTGCCTCCCAGCTGCTCCCCAGGGACCAGAGCTGGAAGACCACCCCTCCCATAGCACAGGCATCTCTGCAGGCTTTGGGGATCCCAGCACCACTGACCCACATCCCCAGAGGATGCTCTGAGGATGCTCACCACCCATGAGCGGGGACGGTCACACCCACGCCAGGAGGGTGTCCCCACTTCCAGCCCACTCACACCCTGAATTTGTGGGGGATACATACTCCAGCTTTAGAAGGTGATGGAGGGGGCTGCACCCTTGTGAGGTCCCCCAGCGGACACGGTGCCCAGAGCAGGCAGGGGAGGATGCCTCCAGGGCAGCCCTTATCTCCCTGCGAGGTCAAGGCTGCCCAGGAGAGTGGGATGGTGTTCCCACGGCTCCCAGAGCTCGGTCCCAGCACCACGTGTGGGGGACAGGAGGGGAACCTGGGGCTCCAGCAGGCAGCTACCCTGTGGGGAGAGCTGCTTGGGGCTGGGGACTCTGATAAAGCTCCAGGAAACCTCTTCAAACCCTGCAAAAGCAAAGGGGGATGCAAAGAGGGAAAGGCGCCTGAGAGATGGGTGTTTTGTGCGGGTGAGGGAAGGAAATACTTTGGAGGCAGCATCTGCAGTCAGAGAAGCACCGTGGGCACCCTCTGAGTGTCAAAAGGCAGGAACAAGGTGCTGCTGGATCCAGCACAACCAGCTGCGATAGGGATCGGGTCAGGGACATGCAGGGTGGCACATGGGGCTGGGAGCACGGGGGCATTGTGACACAGGCAGAGGTGCCCGCCACCTCCACAATGCCCCAACATACCCAGTCCTCATCCTTGACCCATGCTGTTGAGCTGGGGGACAGCATATTCCTCTTCCCCAGCATGGTCAGCCCCAAAAACATCATCCCATCTGGTGCACTAGGAAGCACAGCTTGAGCAGCCCTTGCACTACCCCAAACCCTTGTGTCCCGCCCAAATTGGGACAGGGGTGGTGGCTGTTGTCACAGTATCTCCTCAAACCACCTGGACTGGAGGGCATGGTCACCAGCACTGGCTTCACAAGGGGGATTGCAGCACAGCACTATCCAGAGGGACGAGGGGTAGGACAGATCAGCCCCACGGACCCCTTCTGATCTGGGGTTCTCCACCATGGGCTGGGGACATTGGGACAAAAAGACTCTGCAAAGGTGCTGGGGACACTGTAGAGGGACAGGGAAGGGGGTCCAGCTGCATCCTGGCTCCATCCCGCCTCCCCATGCAGGGGGCCCAGGGCAATCCAGCCCTTCTCCCTCCCCCCTGCACCCAGACCCCACGGCAAAAGGATAAAAGTTCATGACAAGCCTGGGCAGGATCAGCACAGAGCAGCTCAGCCTCGCACCGGCTCAGTGCCGCCTGCGCCAGCCCTGTGGGGGAACACGAGGCTGCTATCACCCCTCCCCATCACTGTGACTGATGGCACCCACACTCCAGAGGTGAGGGGGACACGAGCCCCCATCCTCTCTAGAGCTGAGTGTGCAGCCCCTGCAAGGGACTGCTCTGTCAGACCTCAAAGTGAGGCTCTAGGGCAGCCCAGTGTGTCCTGGCACATTGGGGCTCAGTGAGAGCACAGCTGGGGCCCCGATACTGGCAGTGATTTGTAGGCAGGCAGAGGCTCTTGCTAACGTGCCCCACATTTCAGGCAGGGGAGTGCTGGCTGGGGGCCGTGTCCCTGCTTCGGCCTCTCCCCACCTGGTGACATGGCCCAGAGGAATGCTGCCCACAGCCACCAGCTCTGCAGAGCCCCTCAAAGGAAACCCAAAATCTGTGCAGCTCCTGGGGGACACCAGCAAAACCACAACAGACCAGAGAAGATGTTGCAGTGTCCACTGCAGCACAGAGCACGATGCTCTTGGCTCTGCCAAGGATGATCCTGCAGCTCCTCACAGGAGCCCCATATCCCTGGCACCTTGCCCAGGGACCCTTTGGGAACACCGTGCCCATTCCCACAGGGAAACACCTTCCTGACTGGCACAGGGCTGTCCAGGGACAGCCAGAGCTCACCCAGGCAGGTGGCGGCGGCCGAGCAAGACACGGCATGGCAGGAGGGCGGTGAAAGGAGGTTTGTTTACATTGTGCTCCTCTTCCAAACAGCTCTCAGGCTGCTGTGAGGGATTCCCTGGCTCCTGGACGGAAGGGTGGCCACCCTGCTCTCCCCTACCCAGGTTTGCACCTCCTGACTGGCCACGTCCTCTCTGAAGGGTCCCCTGGCACGGTCTGGGGACCCAGGTGGTGGCAGAGCCCCCGGTGCACCAGGCCAGCTCCCCGTGAGACAGCCCAACTAATTTCCTCCCCTCTATCACTTCCTGTCCCTTCCGGCTTGGCGGGCGGCTCAGGAAGCAATCGGAGTGAGGAAACCGCAGGAAGCCACGTGGCAGCATCCCACCAGGGTCTGAAGAACTGCCAGGGCTGCCCCAGGCTGCCCGTGCCCCCCAGCTCCCGCCGGACCCCAACAGCCAAAGGGTCCCCTAGCTCCCAGCAAAGCCCTGAGCCTCCACAGCTGGCAGGGATGTAGCTGGTCCTCGCTCAGCCGTGCAAGGTCGAGGGATGCTCAGACCCCTCATCCCACGGGGCTGTGGATGAACAAAGAGAAAATGTGAGTTATGTGCTCCCAAAATATTTGGGGCAGAGAGAAGGAAGGGGATGAGGCAAACCCAGGGCACAGCTCCCTCCTAAGGGCAGAACCACGGGCATCCAAACCAACCCCTTC